CAACTTCCATCCAAAACTTAATTACTTATCATTTTAAGAAGAAAGATAAAAAAAACTACTCAGAATCCATGGAGAAAAAAAAATCACACTTTAGTTTAAAAGTAGAAATCATTGTCTAAAAACCAACAAGTCTCAATTAAAACCAAAGTAGTCTAAAACAAAAGATAAAACTTAAAGATAAAAACTTATCTCAAGTCCTCCACCAAACTCTTGAAGTTCCTTTGAACCTCTTCTATTTTACAACACTCTCAACATAAAACTAAAACAAAAAAGATAAAATAATTATGTGGTGTCTGAAAATCTCTCCGAACCTCTCCGAACTAACTCCATCTCTCCGAACTAACTCCACAATTCAAGAACTTTCAAAACTTTCTCTTTTCAAGCACACTTTCAAAGACTCAATCTTCATTCTTTTATAAATTTTTAAAAGGTGTCTTGGTATCTCTTCAAAATATGTCTCGATTCGATGTATTTCTCCAAGAGATACCTCCTTTCGTAATATTTTTTGTCCATGGTGGTTGTAACCACCTATTAAGCTAATGGGTGCCTCAAAAACCTCTTCAAAATTTTCAAAAACCGAATTCACTCATCCAATAACTGCCACTGGCGCTTAAGTGCGGGGCCGCTAGCGCTTAGGCGCGGCCTTCTCTGTTTAACCGGCGCATAGACGCCAAAACACTTTTGCACATTTTTCACCTATTTGCTCCAAATTTGATTCTATTTCACTCCTTTAAGCATTTTTTACTTTTTTTACTTATACCTGAAAGAAAAAACACACAAATGCCTTCTATTAAAGAGCAATATCTCAAAAATAGGTATAAAAATGCATATAAAAATAATATATATTTTAGGTGTATCAGGGGGCAACCTTAACTGTAATCTCCAAAGTTCGTTCATGTCAACATTCCACAATCTTCACTACAAAAAACACTTCACCAGTTTCCGCTCATCGTACTGGAGTTCCTCTTCAGCTAGACCAGAAAGCTGATCTCTTCAAGTCTCAATACTTGTGTTGTTTTACAAGCTTTTATGAAAAATACCCCCGCTAGGAGAGCAAAAGATTCAAAAACAGCAACTAACAAATTATCAAATATTTTCTTGAGTATGATTATAATCATATTTCCAAGAAAATATACAACCCATTGCGACCTACGCCATAGTCTCAAGAAACGCAGAGCATCTCTGACACCTCATTCTAGGCTTAATCAATCCCAGAGGGACTCGATTCGACCTCTTCCATTACAGGCTACAGTCGTCAATGCTTCGACATACAGCCTCGGATATGTCAAAAATCCTTGGTATATTTTCTTCGATCTCTTCCATAACAAGTTACGGTCGTCAAGTGGTCATCAAGCAAAAGCTTCGACCAACAACCTAAGATAGGTCAACCATCCTCAGTTGATTTCATATGACTCTGTTCATTACGGGTTAATATCGTCGAACATCTCCGGTTATATAACTCAGAATGGATCTTACATTCTTATTGGATTCTCCTTTCAACCATGCCTTTGAAAGTCAAGCTCAAGAGACAAGACTCAATGAGAAGCTACCATGCCCCAAGAAGACAATAATCCATTACTCTACTGCAGCAAATTTTCTGGCACACATCAAGTACAGTATGTTGTTCATGTTATATATCAATTGCATTACTTGGGTAATTAAATAATGCTATGAAACTGTTTGGACATAAAAGGATCTTTATAGAATTGTAATATGGAATGTATATATATATATATATATATATATATATGTTTGAGATATTTTATGTCTTTAAGTGCACACATTTTAGTAGAATAATTATTGGTTCTCGAGTCTAAGGTAAGCCTCGAACCACATGTCTTAAATTTCATCACAGAATGAAAACAAAATGTATCTTATTTATAATTCCATCTATCTTCTTAAAATTTATCTCAGGACATACTTAAAACTCTCTCATTCACTTCATGGGAGGTTGGAGCCCGCACTAAGATTAATAATTTTCTGCCCTAATTAGAAAATTACATTCATTCTTTCCAAACGATAATTTAGTCATAAAAACTGAAGATTTCACAAAAAAGTTAAGAATGAATACCGACTTTTGTAACAATTGGGATTCATATCATAAAACTATAACATCGCCGTGCATCAAATTTGCTAAAAATCCCAATTACGAACATAAACCAATTACTAAACCATTTACAAGAAAAAAGTTGCAGAATTCAAATCCAACTTACAAAACAAAAAGTGAGAGGAAACAATAATTTTGCTCAACCATTTAACATTTAGTGATTTGGTTTATAAATGTAGATATGAATGTTTAGTTATCTGATATGTAAATACATAAGAATTGCGTGGTACGCATGTAAATTTCCCAAAAGAAAATTAGGAAATGCAACACCAAGATTCATAATTTTCATCACTGTATTCACTTTCTGTTCTTCAAACGTACTTTAATCTTATCAAAACAGCATTTCAAATAAAATTAAAGACCAAAATACAATTTTGCATCTTCACTAATTACTTAAGAGAAAGATTTACATACATTCCACTCAATTTTACATCTTCTTTAATTACCTTAAGAACATAAGATAAATAAAGACAGATTTCATTTTCAAGCCTAATATCAATACTCAGCCTACCATTCTCCACCCCACTGGAAATCACTTTTCTGGCTGCCATCAATCACCGCCGGCAAAGCCGAATATAAATCACTGATTCTTCGATACCTTCTCAGTATCCGCCGCCGCTTACCGATCACATCCATGATTTCCGGCGACCTCGTTGGTCTTGATATCAACTCGTCTCCCCAATCGCCGCCTCTTAAAGCCAGAAGCTGCTTTGCTGCCGCAAGCTCGGCGGCCGTGATGTTGTTATACAGCATTTGCGCCATGGTTGCTCTAGAGCCTGCTGCATTATTTATAGGCGCAGAGTTACTTGGATTATTTCTTTAAACTTTGTTTCTGGAATTATATTAGGAAACAAGTTATAACCGACTTATATATTATTATTATCCTATCTCGCGGGATAGCTTAATGGTAATCTGTACCTCTTTCCTTTTTCGGGACTTTACCGTTGGGTTTGAATTTTTTTTCTTCTAAAACAATATTTTATAGACGTTACAATTTTTGAATAATTTAAGAAAAGATGCTCATTTTCTGTCGTGACACCTGATATAACTCTACGTGCGGTGCAGGTTATTCCTGAGTTATTTTCAGGTTTTTCAGGTTATTTCTTTTTTCAGGTTATTTCTTGGTTATTTTCAATAATCCCAAAATAACCCAGAAATAACCCAAAAATAAAGACCGCATGTTATTTCTGGATTATTTCAGAATTATTTAAAATAACCAAGAAAAAATCTAAAAATAACTCAAGAATACTCTGCGCCGCACGTAAAACTACGTCAGGAGTCCGCACAAAAAAATTTTTGTAAGAAAACAAATTAAGCAGGTTGAGAAGGAGAAACTAATGAGAAGGGAAAGATATAAATTAATAAAAATCCTTTCATACCTGTTTCGTTAACTTTTTTTTTTCTTTATTTTTGTGCATATATCCAGTTAGTATAAATGATATGTAGTGTGTTAAGTTTCTTGAGATTAGTGATCGCAATTAAGAAAACATGAAATTTTAATTGAACAAATAATAATTACATTTGGATTAGTGATCCTAACTATATTCATTCGTATTCTAAAACATATGAAAAAAAAAGATTTTATTAATAAAATGCAAGAATATTTTGTGTGAACCATATGCATATAGAGTATGATTGAAATTAGCTAAGAGTTGTAACCGAGCCAAGAATGTTGTGGATTGAATTTAATTTGTTCATGTTAAAAGTTTTCATGTTTCGCTCGAGCTTCAGCCGAGATTCACACATAATATTCGCAATTGACTTGTTTAAATTTTTTAAATAATCATATTTGATTTATATTTATTTAATTCATGTTAATTGAACGAGTAATTGAACGAAATAGTAAATAAACTAAATGTATACTCATATTTCATAACAAATTGTTAATGATCAATTTTCTAAATCTAAACAAACAAAATTTCAACTAATATTTAATTGATTTACACAAATTAAATAAACTAATATATACAATCAAATAATATCAATATATACTAACAAATTATGTTATTAAAATAAAAAAAAATACATTTGCATGTAATTATTATGCATATAGATGTCAAGTTGTAATAAATTATCCATAAACACATAATTTAATAAGTTCTAATTAATCATATTTTATCATCAAATTTATTATACGATACCAACACATTGTTTGTTTTACAATAAGTTTATTTATAAAAATAAATAAAATTTTTGGACTAAGCATATATTTAGTTCATCTAACATTCAAGTCCTTAAAAAATGTTCAAACATATTTATTTACCATTTGAACAAACTTAATCAAATATTAATTAAGCTGAACTCGAGATCATTAAGTGCATTGGTTCATTTACAACTCCAGCCAAACTGAACCATTATGTAGAAAACATGGAAACAATGAATGAAGAAAGCCACATCAGATGACCAATTATGAACCCAAAAAGGCAGGGGAACTGAACCCTGGAATTGAAGAGCAAATATTAAATCCGGACCCCGGATGTAATTTGCGTCTGGAGTTCAATGGTTGGGCGAACACGTGTCAAGTAGACCCACCGTAATACACTGAGATTGGCCAGTTTCAAAATTTGTGGGGCCCACTTGGCACGGCGCCCAGCCATTCGACTCTGAAACCAGAGTTCTGAACTAATATTTTTTTGGAATAGAAACCTCATCATGGAGCATCAAGCCATTCAATTATAAGTCAAACTAACTCAATAGCAACCAAAAAAAAATTCCAGAAGATACATACCATCGATATAGCCATTTCATCATCGACATTGTGCAACCCAGGGTCAAATGTTTAGCCCCCAAAAATTCGGTTTCTCAATATCGTTTCAGATTGAGCTGGAGACACATGAAATAATCCTTGGAGTCGCAAGCACTCTCCTGGTTTCATATCCCGCTGCGACAAAACTTCAAGCATCTGCTCAGCATCTTTCTTGTTCATTTCCAACAGCTTCAAACAATTACTTGTGCATGGAAAAAATGCTTCAGGCCTTGCACAGAACAGTTTAAAGATAAGGAAAAGGGCCTTCATATCATTCCTGAACCGATAGACCCCCAAAGAAGAGAACCTTGCGTTGCTCATTGGAACGCTGGTGAAAATAAAATGATCAAGCCCTCCTGCAATACTTCTCCATAAATCCAAAAACTTATGGGAATTAAGATTAAGATTCAGGAACCAGATTCGCGCTTGCAACATGTCCAGGGCTTCGATAAAGCCAGATGATATGCACAGATGATCTTCATCCGGATCTGAGTCAACTTGCTTTATTTCCCACTGCTTCCTATCTTGAACATAATTCCAGCATAAATCATCAAAATGGAGGAGGAGAGAAGTTGCAATCACCTCAAGACAATCAGTTTGAAGCTTCACCAGAAACATTATTTCATCCTCAAACATTTCATTCAGATTCACATCCTCACTCCAATAATGCAGAACATGTTCACAGTAACATGCAGTGTTTATAGCGCTGCAAACTCTCAACAATTGAGAATCCTCTGAGACATCCATAAATTCAAAATTTCTGCTACGTTCAAACAGGAGGTTGAAGAAGTTACTCAGGAATAGATTTGCAGAAGAGCTGATGAATTGTTTCCTTCTTTGAGCGCATGGTAAGGCCAATCCTCTCTCAATCATTTCCCAACCTAAACGCAAAACAGAATCTGCCATTAATGGAGCTTTATAGTCTTCTCTTGATAAAAGAAGGAATGTCTCCTCTTTCTCATAGCTATGTCCCTGATTTCTAAAACCTTCCAACCAGCTTCTTTCTTCTTCCAGCATAGGTTTTAGCTTGCCTTCAGCATCATTCACTTCCATTTCAGCCCAAATCTGAAGCCAATCAGAACGCTCGTTGAATATTGACATTATTGACAAGCCCTCAATAGAAGCAAATGCTTCAGTAACATGAGTTCCTAAAGTTGAAAGAATCTTCATCCGCTTATCAAAAGTGATCATAAGGTCAACCACATGAAGCAATGAAGAACTTACCTCTGAGTCAGCATCCTTGTTGTAGAGATCTTTAACAAGGACAGGAAACAACTGTCTTTCAAAATACCCCAAAAGATTTCTCACCATTGCTATCGCCCAAGCTTCCTTGGCACTACAACCCAGCAGTCTAGCATGATCAATCAAAGGCTGCAAATTATTTTCCACTCCATCCAAAAAATTTTGGGTAGTTTTGTGAACAAGGGCAAAGATGAAATGCGGCTGGTCAAACCATCTGTTGAAATGATATTCCATCCGTAAGGCAACGAGGTTCACAAGTTCATCGATTGGCCATAGGCCATGTTTAAAGAATGAAAAAACTTCACCCATATCCTTGGAATCTGATGAATTAAATGCCGATTGATTTCTCTGCAGAAGACTCGCGCGCTCATCTCGCATGGCCTGTAGCTGCTGCAGGGAACATAATGCCGAGAAGCTCTGAGAAAACCTGGATTTCTCTTCCCCTTGCATTAGAAAAAACGATTGTTGCATTACCATGCAATTATCTTTTTGCAATTTAGTGGTTGAAAGGGATGGCGGCCATCCAAGGGATGTAATTAAAATTCTGTAATCAATGAGACATTGTGGTCTCAAAATGGCCAGAGCTTTCTCCACTCTGGAATCAACGGCTTCAAGCAAATTTGTCCACCAAGGCCTGCTTTTTGCAACACCAGCTAGAATTTCTTCAATATCTTTCACAGCCTTTACTGCCACAAGCAGTTTTACCAGCCGCCATCCAATCTCCTGCATTAATGTTGAAAAGTTCATAACCTTTAATACAGCCACAACAGAATGAAAACACTGCCCCAATAGCTCAAGGCGAAACATTTTTACTACGTATTTGTTTGGGATTAATTTTATTTTTTTATTTTTGATTATGTTTCCTCTTTTCTATTGAAAATATGTTTATTTAGTGTGTTTATTATATATTTTTATTTTTTATTTTTAAAAACAAATTAATATGTTTTTGAAAACACTCACAAACTTTTATCTGTTTTTGAGTATTTTAAAAACAACCATATTTTAATCAAACAATCAAACATATTTTATTTCAAATCAAAACATAAACAAAAAAATAATAATAATAAGAAAATAAAAAAAACAGAAGTCCCAAACGCCCTTACATTAACACCATGCACTCTGGAAAAGAATGAGATTGATTTTAAAAAAGTGCACCATAGGATTATTGAAATCGACAAAACAGACAAATTTGAACTTGGATATATTAGTTAGTGTTTGAAACAAAATGGTTTAGTTCAATGGATGCCTAAAAGGAGCTGAGCCTCTTGATATCAAAACTCATACTTACCTTAACTCGGTGAAGTTATTTATTAAATAATACAGATTACATGTTTTCATAAGCTATTATCATGCGAGTGAGAAAAAAAAAGTTTCAATCTTTTTAAAATTAATAAATATTGCATTTCATCTGTTTACATAAGACGTTTTCATTTTTTAAGATCATGATAGGGTATAATCCTCTTAGTTTTGTCTTTGAGGTGTTAGAAGCAAGACATATTAAGCAGACAGCAGACGGTTTAATTTAAACAATTCTGATAGTAGTATAAACACATTACTCCATCTGCATATCAGTTTATTTATAAATTGAAAGCAATAAGTCAAACTTATCCCTTAACTTCAATAATAGCTTCTCCGTACTGACTTATTCTACTTTGTATTTTTATAAAAATATTATTGACACATCATTTTTTTTCCAAAAAAATAAATAAAATAAAAAAGGAAAATAAATGACATCCTTTCTCTAGTTTTACAAAAACTATTATTTTTGCATCATATTTTCATGAAAAAGTCTATATATTTTTTCAAAAACTTTTATTTCAATAAATCATAAGTTCCTTTATATGATAATTATTTTTATGCAGTATAAGTTGATTACTTCAGAAATAAGTCAATAGTGTGATCGTCAAAAGTAAATTTTAAGTATGAAAGAATCTCTTAGTTTATGAAAGCAATAAGTATATACACTAAAAAAAATGATTACAAACTTAAAAATTAAAATAGCTGCCAAGGACATTATATGACATATTAGTTAAATGTAAACTCTTGAAAAAATATTATTAGCTGTCCCAATCCTTAAAATGCCAATAATCCAAATTCACCAGCTCATAGGCTGAAAGTTTTGAATGAGTTCATTTAATACTGATTATTTGGACGACAATTATGATTATAATGACAGCTTATTTTACATTCCAGATATTTAATAATTAATTATAGTAAGCATGTACATTGTCAAAAGCCAACTCAGTGGAAGGAAGGCAAGTTTTGTAGAAGACCACTTGGCAGGGAAATGATCTAAAAGAACAAAAACTATATTAGATAAGTCGTCCAAATATATGACCATATTATTTCGGTATCTGAGATGCTGAAAAGAAGGAATACGTCTACAATATTATTTTGGCCTCTCAAATCCTTCATTGGTTCAACAAAAATTCTGGGAAAAGCCATTTTTGTGCTAAAATCACCATTAAGAAGGCATTTTTGGCCTTATACGATTAACATATTTGGGCTTACCATATGTCTTTGTTCAATGGGTTACAGGGTGGAAATTGAAATAATTATCATGTTAAGGTAGATTTCAGCTTTTTAAATTTCTCGTAACAGTTACCTTAGTTTTTGGTTCTGATCCTCTTGTCATCCAAAGACTGCCTTGAGTAAGGTTAGCAGAGCATGATCAAGGAGTAAAGTTTCAAAATCTATAGAGAATGGGGTACTGGATACGACTCTCCTGCTCGTCTTAATCTAAGTTTGTACAAATAAAAGGACAGAACGGGAATTTAAAGTAAATGGCATTGAGAAGTCCATCTTTATATGCTTATAAAAGATATAATAAGACTTTAAAGTTTTAACAGAAAAACTCACAACCTGAGTTTGAATTGATACTTTGGAAAGCACATTTTCAAGCTTCTTCCTTGAAACTTGTTTCAACATTGCCAAGGTTGCATCTTCAAGGTCACCGACTAAGATTTCCAGATGTAGCGCAGTCTCTGCAAGATCAAACTAACAAAAATGAACGCATGGCTGAAGTATTTTTTTTCTGTAACAGTCATACCAAGAAATATTTCTCAGACGAATAGATGAATGCAAGAGTTTGATGGTGCTGATAAAACACACCAGAACTTATGAATGAATTATCATGTTTAGCGGTCCAAAAGGTAACCTAATCTGCGATTACTTGTGAGATCTGCATGCTATGTGATATTTTCTTGGCGCATTTACATAAATACCACCCAATTCCTATGTATTTACATATCTGACACCTAAGCGTTAATTTTTATATTTACACCACCCAAATCTTCCATATCACATAAAAAATACCACCAATTTAACCTCTAAAAAGTGAAATGCACTTTTTCATGCATGGTTCAGCCCACCAATTTAACCTCTAAAAAGTGAAATACACTTTTTCATGCATGGTTCAGGGGTGGTATGTATGTAAATGTTAAAATTTAGGTGTTAGATACGTGAATAAATAAGATTGAGTGGTATGCATGCAAATCTTCCCATTTTTTTAGCATGTCAAATGTTTAAGCGTGCTAAATTAATCAAAAGATCTTCATAGTAGCCATGAATAATCATTTCAAAATAGAAGAAATAAAATGCATGCCATTTGGCACATCTTAAATGCAGATGCAATAATAGCAAAGCAAAACATCAGATACTACCAACATAATGAAATAAATACAACAAAATCAAAGCCTTAATCCTACTACGTGGAGTCGGCTGCATGAATCCATTTTCTCCATTCTGTCCTATTTAGTGTCATATTTTCATTTAGTTCTAAAAATTAAGATCATTTTTTATACAATAAGCCCAAGACTTCCTAGGTCTATCACTGTCTTTCTTAACATAAGTAGAAACTAAAACATCTACTCTCCTCAGATCATCAGATGGTCGACGCTTAATGTGACCAAACCATCTAAGACGACTTTCTCTAATTTTGTCCGTCACAGGAGCTACACCAACCCTATCACGAATATATTCATTTCACATTTTGTCTCTAAGTGTAAAGGCACTCCTCCGCCTAATCATTCACATCTCGGCAATACTTAACTTAGTATTATGCTTCTCTTTTAAAAGCCAACATTCAGCGCCATAGAGCATTGCAGGTCTCACCACCGTTTATAAAATTTTCCTTTCAATCTGAGCGGTACTTTTCTATCACACAAAAGGTTCGAAGCATTCCTCCACTTCAACCAACCAACTTGAATTCTACTATTAACATCCTCATCTACATCAACATTGCTTTGAACAATAGACTTGAGATATCTAAATCGTTCACACCTTCTAGTAATTTGATCACCTAAAGTTACACTTCTGTCACTAAAGCTACTACCACTAAAATTACATTCCATGTATTCAGTTTTATTTCTACTCAAATGAAGGCCTTTAGACTCCAATATAGACCTCCATAGTTCAAGTTTTTCCTGGTTTTTTCTCTCTTCGTATCCATGAGAAGGATATCATCGGCAAAAAGCATACACCATGGTACATCCTCTTGTAAATCTCCAGTAAGACCATCCATAACTAAAGCAAAAAGATATGGACTTAAAGCCGATCCCTGATGTCATCCAACAAAAATAGGGAAATACTTGGTTAATGAAGGCCTTTAGACTCCAATATAGACCTCCATAGTTCAAGTTTTTCCTGGTTTTTTCTCTCTTCGTATCCATGAGAAGGATATCATCGGCAAAAAGCATACACCATGGTACATCCTCTTGTAAATCTCCAGTAAGACCATCCATAACTAAAGCAAAAAGATATGGACTTAAAGCCGATCCCTGATGTCATCCAACAAAAATAGGGAAATACTTGGTTAATCCTCCTTTAGTTCGAACACAAGTAACAACTCTAGTATATATATCTTGAATGACTTGAATATAAGTCATATCAACACATTTCTTCTCAATCTCCAAAGGATATCTCTTGGAACCTTATTGTAAGCTTCAAACATCAATCCTCTCTTCAACATAATGAAATAAATAAACAACATGAGCTATGAAGCACAGATATAAACACAAGAGCAAATAAAGCATGAAATATCCACACTGTAGTCATTATGTCAAGAAAATATATTAAATACAATCTGACTAGGGCATTTAACTTTTTATTTGATTGCATTTATTAGTTCACTTAACAACCAAAAATAGTCCCATATGTGTACGATTGTGATTAGTGGGTTATCTCATGTGGATCCGACAATTGGACAATTAATGGGTTGCTAAAACAAAATTGAGAGTAGCTTGAGGTAGATTTATATCAAAATTAAAGAGAAAAAAGTAATGAATGATTACGAGAAAATAATGGCTGAAGGAGCATCTATGAATATAAGGTAGCTAAAAAACAAACTTAGATGATTTAGACATGTATAAAGAAATTGAAAATGTACCTATTAGACATTTAAGAAAATAAGTTCAAAATATTAGAAATAAAAAGAATAATCATATTGATAGAATTTGCTCGAAATGATTTGTAAGAAATAAGCTCAATACCTCAAACAACAATCAATATTATTGAATTATGATGAATAAATATGAATTAAAATGGACCCTGAATAGTTATGATAAGGCTAATGACCAAGATAAATGATACTTTCAAGCATAAAAGTTAAAAAAAAAATCAAATGAAAATTACATTAAAAGTGAGGGAAGAATGAGGGTGGGAATGAAGGAAAGTTTGATTTGATATATAAGCAAAAAAAAAAACAAAAAAATCTATTATGGATTTATGACCACATTCTCCATAGGGCCCTCTTATCTCCTATTTCTCCGAACTTGGATTATGGAAGAAGGAAATGAAAAGGAGGAAATAAAAAAAAAGTAAAAAAATGAAACAAATCACAAATGTCAAATGGCATACATATGATTGTTTCATATAATGTTACTTTTAATGTTAATGTATCGAGAGTGACAAAGACCCTGAAGAAGTGGTTGTAATTCACAAAGAAAAATACATAAATTGTTTGAGATCTCTTTTGTTTGTTGTTCTTATTTTTTCTTATATTTTTACAAACATTTGTTCACTGCACTTTTTAAATGCTTTTGCCTTATTTTAAACAAATCAAGTTATTTAAAAAAAACAAAATAATATTTAGATGTTTTGAGTGCTTTAAATAACTATCATAACACCAAATGCATTTTATTTTAAATCAAAATATAAATAAATAAAAGTAATCCCAAAACTTCCCCTTAACAAACTTTTTATGCATCAAGCAATCCCAGATTAAAAAACCGCATAAGCACATTTCTTAAATGTTTCAACAACAACAACAAGTCTTTATCCCACTAAGTGGGGTCAGCTACATGAATCCTTTTTCTCCATTGCATCCGATTGAGAGTCATATTTTCATTTAATTCTAATAAATTAAGATTAATTTTTATACAACATGCCCAAGTTTTTTCAAGTCTACCTCGGCCTTTCTTAACATAAGTCGGATCTAAAACATCTACTCTCGTAATTGGATCACCATATGATCAATCTAATGTGACCAAACCATCTAAAACGACTCTCTTTAATCTTGTCTGTCATTTGAGCTACACCAATCCTCCTCTTTAATCTTCTCTGTCATTTGAGCTACACCAATTCTCTCACGGATATATTCATCTCACATTTTGTCTCTAAGTGTCAAAACACTCCATCACCTAAGCATTCTCATCTCAGTAACACTTAACTTTGCTTTATGTTTTTTCTTTAAAAAGACCAACATTTTGTGTCATAGATCTTTTTTTAAAAAGGCCAACATTCAGGTCTCACCAGCATCTTATAAAATTTTCCTTTAAATCTAAGTGGTTCTTTTCAATCACAAAATAGACCAGATGCATTCCCCCACTTCAACCAACCAAGTTGAATTCTAGTAATAATATCCCCGTTTATATCACCATCACTTTGAACAATATACCCGATATATCTAAAATATTCACACTTTGTAATGATTTGATCACCGATTGTTACAACTTCACCACGTATTCAGTTTTAGATCTACTCAAATGAAGATCTTTAGACTCTAATAAAGACCTCCATAATTCAAGTTTATCCTGAATTCTTTTGTCAAGTCTTATCCACAAGAAGGATATCATTAGTGAAAAGCAAACACCAATAAATGTCTAGTAAATGCATCCATAAGTAAAGCAATAAAAATAGGCATAAAGCGAATCCCTGATGTGATCTAACTGAAATAGGGCAATACTTGGTGAATCATCTTTCTCTTCAAACACAAGTAACAACTCTAGTATGCATATCTTGAATGACTTGAATATAAGCCATATCAACACCTTTCTTTTATAGAACACTCCAAAAAACTTCTCTAGGAATTTTATCCTAAGGTTTTTTCTAAATCAATAAAAATCATATCACAAGCTTTTAACACCCGGGTCACAAATCCCAGATGTGAAAATTGAGGGTTTTGTTAGGTAGTCAACAACCAACGTAAAATTTTTATTGAAAAAATCATGGCATGAATCCCTTAAATATTTCAATAAGAAGATAAGATAACTAGCAAACAGGCTTTTCCATCGTAGTTGTACTAGATTACTGTTAGTGAATCAAATCTTTCCCTCATGTTCAATTAGGAAGAATTAAATGCATACCACTCAATTCCTATGTATTAGAAAGATTTACCTTCAACCATCACTTGTTAAATTACCATAACCAATTACCAACATCATATCATGCTTGAAAACAATAGAAAAAAGAATAACTGATTACATGAGAGAGAAAAAAAAGGATAAGAAAGGGATTGCCTGCATAGAACCTGATTGACTGGATGCGACCAACCTCCTTAGCAATCAAGGGTAACTCCACAAGTAAGATTTTCTCATGCGGTCTCGCAGTTCCATCTGAAGTTTAAACAATATATAAAACTATCAAATGGTCCAATTTAGAAAACGGGGAATCTGAAAGAATCGAAAGCAAAAAAGATGGAGAACGCACATCATCGAGAGATAGATTAAGGTTTAGTACCGGCAGACCTCGGAATGTGCAACGATGATTGGATTCTATCCCGCTAAGGATCCTCCCAACGTCGTTGGATTTGGAGATCCATGAAGATACGGCAAGGGATAGTCTTCTCTGTAGGTGGAGGAGTTCAATTTCGTGATCACCGAACTCTTGCTTCAGCCGATCCGTAAGAGAATTGATGGAGGCAAGATCCTCGGGTTTCTGAAAGTGGTCTTGAAGAAACCCTAGAAGCCAGGACGAAATGCCGCCGGAACCCAGCATTGCGGCAGAAGGGCAATAATTTTCCGGCCGAAGGTTTGATTAAAGAACTCAAATTGTTGGGTGTAGACGTTGGTGCATTCGATTGGATGAAGGGGCATGAAGACAATGCGAGCTATCTTAAAATTTAAAAATTAGAACATAACGCGGCCCATCCTGGTTGAGTTTTATTTTTAATCAAAAGTTAGTTTGCAATTAAAATTATTATTTTAGTGTAGTATGGAATTAAATAATGGAATTAATAGATACATACACAAGAAGTTTCAAGTAGAAAATTTGGAAAGACAGAAAAATTATGAGGCCTAGCCCAACCTGAAATAATTTACTATAACTTGATGACTGAGATATAAATCATTGCCCCGCATATGGAAAAGTGTCATGCAGTTCAGAAGCGGTTGCAGTTGCCGGAATTTTGGTACATTGTTTTCGAAGTTTGTCGTAGTGTAGTGTTCAGGAAAATGCACCGCTCTGTTGCTCCATGAAGTTGTTTGATGTTCTGACAGTGTTTTGTTACTCCACAATGTTAGTCGCTACTCCACATAGCGCTTCGTTACTTTGCAACATTGGTCGTTGTTCAGCAAGTTTTTTTGTTACTTTTGAGTGTATGTCGGGATTTCACATCGTATATCATGATTCTATAAGGGGCTTTGTTGCAACGAGCAAGGGACGGTCAAGGTGGTTGACGGTGGCTGACGAGCGGCGGTCGACGGTGATCGATAACGGAAAGAGCGAGAAGCATTCACTGGATCTTTAGTGTCGAACACTGGACTTCAGCTCCTCCTCTCGGTCCTCATCCATGCTTAGGTTTTAGTCCCCTTTCATGAATGGGATAAGAATTTATTTATAAAGTTTATGAGAGGCCTCCCAAAAAATATGTTGTGGTAGAATTATAGGCTTGACGACCTCCTCTTCCAAGCGAGGTGGAGTTAGATTGGTTACGATCATGATCTCTTTGAGAGGTGTTGTAGCATTCTCTTAAGGTTTGAAAAGCTAATTGAGAATTGGGCAGGATTTCCAATTTAAGTGTTTCATTTGCAATGTTAGTTTCTTTGTTGTAGAGAAGAGAATAAAAGATACCTGATTAAATAGGTTTAAGTTGAGTATGAATAAAAGTTTTAAAGGTCTGGTATTGAGGTGGTAGTCCATTGAGTTTATAGAGGATAATGTCCTCTTGATCAATTCATTTACCAACCGTAGTGATCTTGTCCACAAAAGTCTTGATGGATGATATGTATTGGGTCTTTTTTTGGGTTTTCAACAATCGATGATTGTTATTTTGACCCCCCAATTATTGAACTAAGGTAAAAGGGCACTTTTGTAATGTGGTACCGCTCACCTACCACATCTCACCTAGCGATCACCTACCTCCCACCTACCACTCTCTTACTTCTATAAATAGAGAGGGTGTGAGGCTTAGGAGAGCAAGGGAAGAGAACTTAAGCTACCACAAAGGAGAAGAGAATAGTTAGAGAGCAAGAGAGGAGGAGAGCATCTTGAGGCCTTGTATCAAGATGTCGTTTGAGAGGGAGGCCATAGAAGGAAGATGAGGGCTCATCTCTATGTATAAGCTATGTATTCTTCATTTCTTTTGCCTTAGTGAACTATTTGATTGATTCCCTCCCGTGGACGTAGATCCAGTTGGATCGAACCACGTAAACGATCTGTGTTTGTTTGTGCTCTTTGCGTTTCATTTCTGTGCCAGGAAGTACATATCTCACAACAATGATGTAGTTGGTTCCTAAGTTGTGTAAGTCGATACCAATTGGCCGGCTGCAACATTTTGGATAGAGTTAACTAGAATTTTAAAGTGGTGGATAGATTCATAACATCATGATGAGATTGTAGAGTACAAATTGATTGTCAAGTTTTAATCTATCATATGCCAAGTAGAATATTATGTGTTAAGAGATGGAGAATTTGATGTGTTGAAAAAAAAATAAAGTGAATAGGAATGCTGCCATCTAAGAATCCTCGAAAACTATTTGATATGAAGATTTTTTGTGTTTGGGCTTTCCATAGGGCGTAATTTTCAGCTAATAGATAATTTTAGGAAAAATTCCTAATATTACTCATTAGGAATTTGAGTGAAGGCGGAATACACATGAAATAGGTTGGTTTTAGAGACAATTGTCTCTGTGTATCAAAGGATTGGGATTTCACCATTTGTATGACCAAAAAATAGGAGAGCATATGAATATTCTTGTTGTGGAAAAAATAGAGGTTGCCTAGATTTGAAAATCTTCACCAACGAACATGATATCAGAATAGGGGGATTGAAATAATAGAGAAGTATGATCGTTGGAAGAATAAACGTAGCTGAAGTGCACGGTTGAAGAGTTTCTTAATTTGTCGGAATCTTCTTGGGCAATGCCTCAAATACCATGAAGATAAACAAAAAATGAGAGAAACATGAAGAAAGATTTAAGAAGTGGAAGAATGTTTAGGTGAATTTCATAATCTTCATCACTGATCATATAGGGGTATATATAACAAGCATAGATAATTCTAGTATCAGGTAGTTACAACTATAATCAGTTAAGGTTTGTTAGATATTTGGTACAGTTGTACTTATAGTGTTAATATTCATGTTAGGAGCTGGACGATAAAAAGACACTTTAGATTTAAGTTAAATCAATCAAATCCTTAAATTTAAGTAAACTATCATCTATGATAAAATTGGATAGATTTTGGTAGCCAAATTTAACTAGGATTTAAGTAGAATTTAGTCAAAGAAGTCAAATTAAAATTTTCAATTTTCAAAATCCCATTTCACCTTTATTTTGGCTTAAAGGTATTTTACAAAATCTTGTAATTTGACAAATTTAAGAGATTTATACATTGAAAGAATATTATGTTGATGCATTTGCCAACATCTTCATCGCTACTCTTTGTTTCTTTCTCTAGGGGTATAGCTAGGATTGGATGGGGGAGAAAAATGAGGGTTTTCGACGTAACAATCTCGTCAATGCTTTAGCGAGTAATATACTGATCTGACTTCTCCCTTAATTTTTTTGGAGGAGTTGGCCGAAATACATTTATATCTAGGCGGAAAGATTTGCAAATTATTAGTGGTGCCGAGGTAAATTTATTATTTCAAAATTTTAATTAATTCAATAATTAGTATTATTAATTGAGAAGTTGTGAATTTGACTAAATAAATAATACTTATGATATATTTTAATTGGATAATAAATCTTATGTTTAGTTTATATTTATGAATTTTGTAATCAATGAGTAATTAACGTATTATATTGCACTAATTATAATGTAATTAATGTAATTAGAATCGATAAGAATTAAATCAATAATACTGATTAATATTGGTAAATTAAAATTTCAAATTACTTAATTAAATAATATTTGACTAAATAAATAATACTTATGATATATTTTAATTGGATAATAAATCTTATGTTTAGTTTATATTTATGAATTTTGTAATCAATGAGTAATTAACGTATTATATTGCACTAATTATAATGTAATTAATGTAATTAGAATCGATAAGAATTAAATCAATAATACTGATTAATATTGGTAAATTAAAATTTCTTCTTCTTCTTGGACTGATTTTCTTCCTCTTCTTGGTCTGTTTGGTCTGATTTCTATCTTCCTCGTTGTAGTAGCATTATCACTCTCTACAAGCCTCCCTCATCTATTTATAATAGATAAGGCCTCCCAAGTAGATCATAGAAGCTTAAGAGTTATATTATAATAATTCTCATCCTTGACTCTCAATTACTATGTTCTATAATAGAGATTCACTCCATCTAGCCCAGATGGGGCCCTTAGCCCCCTGTGAAGTTCACTAAGTCCATACAGTATCTGAACTTAGCTGTAGGTAACACCTTTGTCAGTATGTCAGCTGGATTTTCTTCAGTGCCTGCAACTATTGAACCTTTGGCTACAACATCCCTCATAAAGTGAAGCTTTACATCTATATGCTTAGACCTTTCATGAAAGAATTGGTTCCTGGTTAGATGAATTGTGTTTTGGTTATTGCAAAACACAGTTAGAACCTTTTGACATATACCAAGCTCTTCAGCCATGCATTTTAGCCACATAGCCTCCTTGATTGCTTCTGTCACAGCAATAAGTACCCTCAGCCTCTGTTGGAGAGAGAGCCACAACAGATTGAAGGTTGGACTTTCAGCTGACTGCAGTACCGAAGACAGTAAAGATGAATCCGGTCAGTGACTTCCTGGTGTCAATGCTTCCTGCATAATCAGAGTCCACATAACCGATTATCTTTTCATCTTTGTCCTCCTGCCTTTTAAAGAGCAACCCCAATTCACTGGTACCTCTTAAGTATCGCAGAATCCATTTTAGAGCTTCTCAGTGAGCCTATCCTGTATTTGCCATAAACCTGCTTACAATGCTGAAGGCGTAGGCTAAATCTGGTCTGCTGCAAACCATCCATGTATCTTTTCTCATCTTCATTCTCAGGGGCTTGAGAGTTTGACAATCTGAAGTGCTGACCAATTGGTGTTGTAACCTGCTTTGCATCATGTATGTTAAACCTTGCTAAACCTTTCTGAATGTATGACTTCTGCGACAAGAATAAGCCGCTCTTCTTTCTATCTCTTGTAATCTCCATCCCTAGGAACTTTGTAGTAGGTCCTAGGTCCTTCATGTCAAATTCTGAGTTGAGCATACCCTTGATCTTCTGGACTTATTCCTTGCTTCTGCTGGCTACTAACATGTCATCCACGTATAAGAGCAAGTAAGTACTTATATCACCATCTTGCTTCTTCATATAGACACAACAGTCTTAGCTGCTTCTGACGAAGCCAATCCTCAGCATAAACTCATCAAATATTTTGTACCACTGTCTTGGGCTTTGTTTCAATCCGCACAAAGATTCCTTCAGCAAGCAGACTTTATCCTTGGTTTTAGGTGTGTTATACCCTTCTGGCTTATACATGAAGATGGTTTCTTCCAACTCTCGTGTAGGAACACAGTTTTAACATCTAGCTGTTCTAATTCCAACTTGAATTGAACCACTAGTGCTAAAATTATCCTGATCGAGCAGTGCTTTACCACGGACAAGAAGATTTCATTGAAGTCAATTCCCTCTAGTTAGATGAATTGTGTTTTGGTTATTGCAAAACACAATTAGAACCTTTTGACATATACCAAAGTCTTGCTTTATACCTGACCTCTTCACTGCCTG